CCTGTACTCTACTGAGACATTTCAAGAATTCTTGAGTTCTCTGAAACTGAAAAACACATAATTTTTGAGTATGTGAACACATGCCTTTTGATGGGGAAATAATCCATAGCTTTCAGCAATTCTCATACTGCTCAATTACCCAATTTAAGAGCCATTATATTTTTTTATTTATTTACTGGAAACAATGGTGGTAGAAACTGTTTCTTAGTTAACACCATGAATCAGGACACACAAAAACATATTGCTTAATGTTATTTTCTTTCTCAGAGGCAAACAAAAAGCAACTTACCTTTGCAGAGTCATATTCAAAGAGCCTGTACAACCCTTAATCTTGTTCTGGGCTTCGAGATGAGTCATTCCATTTGCACTTATTCCATCGATGCTGAGAACCACATCCCCTATTCTTACATTCGCCTGGGATGCCTTGCCACCATCTTTTAGCTGTAATAAATACATTTCATTACGAGTGTCACTCTTTAAAAATAAAGAATAACAAATACAGACAAAAATTATACTTTTGCTTATACCAAAAGTATATTAATATACCATTAAAATAACACAAAATTATCTTGCTTAACATGTAACGTTAAATTTGCTTTATAAAAAACTGAAATAATTTTCTGAGAAAGGTTCCTTGATAATTTCTCCATTTTTTTATTGCACACCAATAGTTCTGTGATTGTTATGAAAGAGGAAGAGAAGTAGTGAAGGATATTTCGCATTTTAGAATGTAAAATGTAGAAAAAGAATGTAATCTGAATGGCGGTTTTATACTCTTAGAAATAATTTTTTAAAACTCTTTAAACAGCTGCATTTTTGTTTGAACACAAAGAGTAATACAGAGGGAGGATCTACTGAATAATCTTTCCTGTTGAGTCCAGTTCATATCCAGTGTTTGGGGACTGAATTCTTTCAGATCACAGGCCCAAATATCTTTTATACTGGGTGTGCTTCCTGCTCCAGGCATTTAGCAGGAGGGGAAGGAAACTGGTTGTATCTGCAATTGCCAGACTTTTTTTCGTGTATCAGAGTCCTTGTTTCCCAATCTTTCTTCCCTTGCTCAATAAAATTTTCTATGTGTTTACATTGTTTAGTTTGACCTCTTTCAAACTTCATGTATATATGTTTCATTGCTCCAAAAGAAACAAATATAAAGTTACAATAAATGAATGGCAGTGCAGTTTTCATATATATCTATAAACATGAAACGAGTACAAATCAAAGAAAGCATTTTAATTCAAATGACAACTCGGCATTCAATAAGTGTAAGCAGATGACACAAAATATTGGGTTGCTGGAAGATGGGTGAGACGAGGCCCAAAAAAGAAAGAAAGAAAGTAGCCAGTATTCCTCTAGTACTTGAAATTAAAGATTTTATAGAGTTTCTGTTTGTGATGATGACACAGTTTTAGAAATGGATAGTGATGATGGCTGTATAACATCGTGAATGTATTCTGTCAATGCAACTGAATTGTACATTTAAAAAATATGGTTAACTTTTACGTTATGTATATTTTACCACAGTTTTAAGAAACTTATAATTTTAGAGAACATTTTACTGAAATTACTTTTTGATAAAAACAAAACCACAACACATATGCATACGCAAAATCCTCAGCTCACTGAACATAATTTGGAGGTAAAGCAATAAAAACAATGAACAGTATATGCTCAGTTATGTTTTGATTACTATCAGTTGTCAAATTCTTTCCTTAAAATAACGATCAAGGCAGACCAATACCAATACACAAGAACAAGTATTCAGATATAAAAATCAAGAAAATAGGACTGACTGCTAGATTCATCAAGGCAGGAACCATATCTGCGTTTCCTCTCCACATTATAGACCTTCGCAAAATATATGC